TAGACTGCTGAAACTTGTGTTTTGCCTTGTGCAACAGAATATGTGGAGAAGGAGATAATTTTTGCTAAAAGAGTTGATATTTGCCTTAATGTTCGTATTTGTGAGTTTTTAGCAAGTTAATTGTATGATTGTTTCTAGTACTCCCTTCAGGTACCTAGTTACACCTTCCATGCAAAAAAGTGTTCAAAATAAAATAAAGAGCCTTAACTGGGAAGAAATGGAAAAAAGCCCCTGTGTTCCTGAAATAAGTGATTCTGAGTTTTGTGTCCGTATTCCTGGAGGAGGTATCACAAAAACACTCTACGATGAGGGGTGAGTTTGTTTGCTTGGCTGTTCATTTGTTCCCCACCTCATTTAAAAATGAAAGAAGAAAATTGGGAGAGTGTGTTGGATTACTTACTGGAACTTAGAAAATATATTTGAAAGATAGGTACTGTATTGCATTCAGGGGAAGGAGTGAAATTTGGTTATAGGAGAATTGGTCCCTGAAAAGCCGTATTTTTTGTGTGTGTGTGAGGAAGATCAGCCGTGAGCTAAAATCCATGCCAATCCTCCTCTTTTTTTTTACTGAGGAAGACTGGCCCTGGGCTAACATCTGTGCCCATCTTCCTCTACTTTATGTGGGACGCCGCCACAGCATGGCCTGACAAGCAGTACGTTGGTGCGCACCTGGGATCCGAACCCGGGCCGCCAGCAGCGGAGCATGCGCACTTAACCGCTACACCATGGGGCTGGCCCCATGAAAAGCCATATTTAATGCTTTACTATGTGTGGCATGTTGAGGATCCTGATACTTACTCTATGCAACCTCTATAATCAATCTGTTTTTTTTAATTGTGGTCAAATGTGCATAATATTAACCATTTTTCAGTGTACAATTAAGTGGCATTGAATACAGTCACAGTGTTCTGTACCCATCACCACTATCTGCTTTCAGAACTTTGTCATTGTTCTAAATAAAAAATCTGCACTCATTAAATAACTCTTATTTCTGTAAAATTAATATAATGTTCTCACTTTCATTTCTGATTTTAGTAATTTGAATCTTCTTTTATTTTTAGTCAATCTAGCTAAACATTTGTCAATTTTGTCGATCTTTTCAAATAACCAACTTTTGGTTTTATTGATTTTCTCTGTTGTTTTTCTGTTCTCTGTTTTATTTATCTCCACTCTAATCTTCATTATTTCCTTCCTTCTCCTAGCTTTGGGTTTCGTTTGCTCTTCATTTTCTAGTTCCTAAGATGCAAACTTAAGTTACTGATTTGAGAAATTTCTTCTTTTTTAATATACTTGTTTACAGCTGTAAATTTCCCTCTTAGCACTGCTTTAGCTACATCCCTTAAGTTTAGAATGTTGTGTTTTCATTTTCATTCATTTCCTGAGTATTTTCTAATTTCCCTTGTGATTTCTTCTTTTGACCCATTGGTTGTTTAATTTCCAGATATTTGTGAATTTTCTAGTTTTCCTTCTGTTGTCAACTTCTAGTGTCATTCTATTGTGATTGAAAAAAGACATTTTGTATGATTTCGGTCTTTTTAATATATCAGATCTTGTTTTGTGCCCTAACAAATGGTCTGTCCTGGAGAATGTTTCGTGTGCACTTGAGAAAAATGTGTATTCTGCTTTTGTTGGTTCTGTCTATGTCTGTTAGTTCTAATTGGCATATAGTGTTGTTCAAGTCTTCTATTTCCTTATTAATCTTCTGTCCATTTGTTCTATCCATTACTGAACATGGGGTATTGAAGTCTCCAACTATTATTGTAGTACTGTCTATTTCTCCCTTCAGTTCTGTCAGTGTTTGCTTCGTATATTTTGGTGCTCTTTTTTTGTGCATATATGTTTATATATGTTACATCTTCTTGATGGATTGATCCCTTTATCAATATATAATGGCCTTCTTTGTCTCTTGTAACAGTTTTTGGCTTGAAGTCTGTTTTGTTTGATATTAGTACAGCCACCCTGCTATCTTTTGGTTACTATTTGCTTGGAATATCTTTTTTCATCTTTTCATTGTCAAACTGTGTGTGTCCTCAGATCTAAACTGAGTTTCTTATAGACAGCACATTGTTGGATCATGTTTTCTTTAATCTATTCTGCCAATCTCTGTCTTTTGATTGGAGAGTTTAAATCCATTTACCTGAAAAGTAATTACTGATAAGGAAGGACTTCTGTTATTTTGCTGTTTGTTTCCTATATGTCTTATAGCTTTTTTGTTCTTCATTTTCTTAATTACTGCCTTCTTTTGTGCTCAGCTGATTTTTTGTAGTGATGTGTTTTTTGTTTTTTTTTTTAAAGATTTTATTTATTTATTTTTTCCCCCCAAAGCCCCAGTAGATAGTTGTATGTCATAGCTGCACATCCTTACAGTTGCTGTATGTGGGACGCGGCCCCAGCATGGCCGGAGAAGCGGTGGGCGCCGGGGATCCGAACCCGGGCTGCCAGCAGCGGAGCGCGTGCACTTAACCGCTAAGCCATGGGGCTGGCCCAGTAGTGATGTGTTTTGATTCTCCTCACATTTCGTTTTGTGTATATTCTATAGATATTTGCTTTGTGATTACCATGGCGATTGCATATAACATCCTATAGTTATAACAATCTAATTTGAGTCGATACTAACTTAACTTCAGTTACATGCAAAAACTACTCCTATACACGCTGTCCCCCCCATTTTTATATTGTTGTCTCAAATTACGTCTTTATACGTTGTGTGCCCCAAAACATAGATTTATAGTTATTTTTATGCATTTGTCTTTTAAATCCTCTGCAGTCACTCTTGATTAGTTTTTAGGAATCATAAACATTTTGAAGGCAAGTAAAGGTAAAGATGGAAACTAGAAAGAGATCTTTTTTCTTTTAGCCTCTCTTTTTGTAAATTGATTTATACGTCCATGCTTGGCTTCCATCAGATTTGTAGACACTTACAGTATCCCTGTTTTTACCTGCTTTATCCCAAGCCTCCTGTTTCATAGGCCCGAGGGTGAGTTGAGGGTTAAGCAGTAGGCCTTGCTGTATGCTTTACTCTCTCTGACTCTTCCTCCTTTCTGGGGATCGATGTGCCTGGTAAGTTGATGAGAGACAGAGCCAATGGTTATGGAAGGGGGGGAGGGACAGCTATTTAGAGGGTGGTTTCTGCTGCTTCTCGAGCTCATACAGAATACTCTCTACCCTCCCATGAAGAAAGATGAATGAGGAACATCCCTCTGGTGCCCTCAGCAGTGGCTTTAGAGAGTTGGGTAGAGCTAACCGTAGAAAAAGTATATCCCCACTACTCAGAGTCAGCCAATAAATCTGCCTGTTTACTTAACATAATAAATTTCAGGAGTATAAACCTAGCATTGCAAAATAGAATGGCTAGTTTGCTTGCTCTGAAATCTACATTGTGAGTTCTGCGTGACCTGAAGAAGTCATAATAGTAGTAATAGTAATATAAGTAGTGATCATGGTAATAGCAGCAAATCATGTGTCTGGTACTGTTCTGTGCACCTCACATGTATTAAGTCTCATAATAACCACAGAGGTGTTTACTGTTATTAACCACGTGTTACAAATAGGAAAATTGAAGAGCACGAGATTAAATAACTGCTGAAGGCTGTATAGGTAGTAAGTGGCAGAGCCAGGATTCAAACACAGGCATCTGGCCCCAAATCCTGCACTTTTAACCACTTCACCCATGGTCCAGGACCACAGTGAGTTTGTTCTTTGTCTAAAAGTTGAACCTGCTTCTTGTTATTTGCAATTATTTATGCCCCTGCTTTCTTTCTGAAGATATTTGACTTTTCTGTCAGAAAGGATGCAGGGATCTCAGCTTGTTTTCCCGGTACAATTTGTTTTGTCATCTGTGGCCATACTTACATATCATTCTAGCTTTCTCTTTTTCCCTGGAAACCTGCTCTATTCTTATTAAAACTATCATTTCCCTCAACTTTTCTTTTTTTCCTAGTCCATCATTCATTTGTGTTTTTACTTCTTTTCCTGTCTGGCTTATTCCCATAATAAATATATCATTTCAACTTTTCTCGTACCACAGCCTGGAAGCCCTGGCTACAAATCATTCTCTGCCTCTGCCCTGCAAACGCCCGGCTTTGAATCCTTTTCCTGCTTCCTTCAGTCCCATCGTGTGTGGCCCTGCTGCTGTATCAGCCTGCTCGGGCTGCCATAACAAAATACCATAGACTGGGTGGCTTCAGAAGCAGAGATTGATTTCCTCAGAGTTCTAGAGGCTAGAGGTCTGAGATCAGGGTGCCAGCGTGCTTAGGTTATAGTGAGGGCCCCCTTCCCAGCTTGCAGATAGCCACCTTCTGGCTGTACCATCACATGGCAGAGAGAGAGCTCTCTCTCCCTCTCTTATGAGGCCACAGTCCTGTCGGGTTAGGGCCCCACCCTTATGACCTCGTTTAACCTTAATTACCTCCTAGAGATCCTGTCTCCAGATATAGTCACATTGAGGGTTAGGGCTTCAACATACGAGTTTTGGAGGGACACAGTTCAGTCCATAGCAACTGCTATCAAGGTCTCTTAATTGATTCCCCTGCCTCCTCCATTCTTACCCACTCTGATCTATCTCAGCAGTGTGGCTAGAATTAACTTTCTAAAATGCAGAACTGATCACAACACTCCCTGAATAAAATCCATCAGCAATTTTAGTTGCTTTTTGCAGAATCTGGTTCATACTCCTTAATACGCTATAATGGCCCTACAGGATCTCCTTACCTGGCTCGTTCCTTGGTGCTCTATCCACCTTGCACTCTGTGCTCCAGCTCAACTACCGGCAGTCATGGTTTCCTAACAGCTGTCTCTTTCTTCCTCGCCTTTGTTCCCTCTCCTTTTCTCCTCTTGTCTCCCTTGCAAAAACCTACCCAGTTTCCAAGAGTCAGCTCACACTTCACTTCCTCTGCAACTTGCTTGAGCAATTTACTACTCTCTTTGTACTCCCGCTGCACTCCATCCCTTCAGACTGACTTCTTATTTCTTCACAAGTCAGTCTCCCACTTTTGCTTCTGACCGTGTCAGAGTAACTGATATCAGACTTGCCCTCCTGCCGTAAACAACTGGAAACTGGACAGAATGAAGGAAAAAACTGTTTTTCAGACATCGCACAACAAGCAGCACACAACTGTGATCCCTGAGAGGAGGCAAATAAGGTCCTCTAATTGCCCCAACCTTCTGCTTGGAGATGCTTTCTGGACTGCAGCCCAGGGAGGGGGAGGAAACTCAAGCAGAGCACTGCGGTGTTGCTGAGTTGAGGAGCCATGAGATCAGATTCGGGAAGGCCAAGACAACTGGAAAATACAGGGCAGAGAACCAGAGAGGAGGGAGCTACTCAGAAGAACTCTAGTATCTCCCTGAGTCTTTTGCTGAATTCTAAGCCACACGTGTGTAGGGTGAAACTCCATGAGGCCAAAGAACAACTTCTGGGTAGCTGTAACTTGTCCACAAAGTTAGCAACAATAACAGAAAATATTATAAAATAGACATTATAAAACATTTGGAAAATGTAGAATAGTCAGAAGAAACAATATTTAAAATACTCAGTTCTATCACCCAGAAATAACTACCACTACTAATTTTTTTATCTGTTTTCTTTAAAATACAGTTGAACAGGGCCGGCCCCGTGGCTTAGTGGTTGAGTGCGCACGCTCCGCTGCTGGCGGCCCGGGTTCGGATCCCGGGTGCGCACCGACGCACCGCTTCTCCAGCCATGCTGAGGCCGTGTCCCACATACAGCAACTAGAAGGATGTGCAGCTATGACATACAACTATCTACGGTGGCTTTGGGGGGGAAAAATAAATAAATAAAATCTTAAAATACAGTTGAATTGAATGTATGTATCTGCAAGATACTGCAACTCTAATATTTGCAACTTTAGAGTTCATCCTATTCAAAGATGTTCCTCACAAAATCAATTTTGTTTTCATTTTCTAACAAATCTTTTATTCATCCATAACAAACCTGTTTAATGTTCAGTGAAATTATACATTCATTACAATAAAGACTTTTTGAAATTGAAAAAAGCAACCTTATGATACAGCTTATACAATTTTGAATCCTTTTTTCTCCCTCAATGCATATCATGATTATTTGCTAAATTTTTTCTAATATACATATTTTGCCTTCCCATTATTAGAACACATATATATTCTGATCTCTGGAAAAGGTAATATTCGTTACTCCAATAATAAATGGTGGCAGTGGTGTGGCTGACCTGAGATCCTTTACAATTAATTGGAATAGAAATACTTTGTAATTTAATAATGGGTGTGTCTCATGTGCTGGATTTTAATGTCACAGAAAGTAATAAAATTAGTCATTCCCCACCTTCCTTTTTTACAGAGAGGACCAGAGGATGGTATTAACCAACTACTCTACTATTTGTGTTACAGAGTAGTAGAAGAGGCACTGTGAGTTCAGACTGTTCCCCTGCACTTTTCAAGCTAGAGCCTTTAAAATGAAGGCACAGCCAGGGAGGCTAGCCTTCCACACACAGGAGCCATTTCTAAGGCTGTCATAGCATTAATGTTTAGGAACTAGAATCTTCTGAGCCATCACAGCTCACAGTGCTTCCGTACAAAGCTTGAGAGCCCTTAAGATACTTGGGAGCTATATACTGAGATGGTGTAATTAATGCTAACAACTTCCAGTTTCTAATGTTGAGAGACTGAGATGCTGTGGTAGACTCTCCTGGTACACCTGAGACTTCTGAACCTGCATGTTAGAGTCTCCTACACATGTTAAATTCCCTGCTTAGGAATCCAACTCTCCTTTATTTCTGGAGCTTTCTGTCTGTCCGTCATGTGCTCTCAAGTTTTGGCATTACATTTTTCTCATAGTTCTTGGTTTTGGGTGTTAGAAATGATTTTTGCTTTTGTTGCCAAATAGGAAGCTTTTTGCATTGGGGTATCTCCATCTCATCACTGGCTTGAGGCATTTAGAGCATCACAGTTAGGAGACTGTTTTCATGTCAGAAGGACCTAAGTTCAAATCCCACCTCTGCCACTTCCTAGATAGAGAACTTTGAGCATGTTTTGTTTTGTTTTGTTTTTGTGAGGAAGATCAGCCCTGAGCTAACATCCATGCCAATCCTCCTCTTTTTTTGCTGAGGAAGACTAGCCCTGGGCTAACATCTGTGCCTATCTTCCTCTAGTTTATGTGGGACGCCACCACAACATGGCCTGACAAGCGGTGCATCAGTGCACGCCTGGGATCCCAACCCGGACCACCAGCAGGGGAGTGCGCGCATTTAACTGCTACGCCACGGGCCGAGCCCCTGAGCATGTTAACCGTGGTTTAGTCCCTTTAGAGCTCAGTTGCCTCACAGTGATAGCTGACACTTATACAGCATTGACTGTGTATTCCACACTGTTTTAAGTACTTTGCCTCCGTTACCTCCTTTAAACCTCACAACAGGCTGTGAGGTCAGTTCTACTGTGACCCCTTCTTTACAGATGAGGAACACTAAAGCCCTGATTAAGTAACTTGCCCAACATATGTGGTAAGTACAGAGCTAGAATTTGAATCCAGGTATTCTGTCCTTCCCGTTATTCAAAACTGATTCATTTATAAAATGGAGACAATTATAACTTCCTCAAGGATTGTTGTAGGGATTGAATCATAAAATATGCAGACAATGCTTAGCACATAATAATCATTCAATAAATGGAATCTGTAAGAAGTAGTGGTAAGTTTCTTTCCCTTTAAGTATTCTCTTCTATTCCACACTTCTCCTTTGCTGCTTTATTTTTGTTTTTGTTTATTGCAGTAACACTGGTTTATAACATTGTATAAATTTCAGGTGTACAACATTATACTTCTATTTCTGCATGGATTACATCATGTTTTCATGTTCACCACCCAACTACTAACTACAATCCATCATCACACACATGTGCCTAACTATCCCTTTTGCCCTCCTTCCCCGCTACCCCTTCCCCTGTGGTAACCACCAATCCAATCTCTGTCTCTATGTGTTTTTTGTTGTTATTATCTACTACTTAATGAGTGAGATCATAACGGTATTTGACCTTCTTCCTCTGGCTTACTTCACTTTGCATAATACCCTCAGTGTTCGTCCATGTTGTCACATATGGCTGGATTTCATCGTTTCTTATGGCTGAGTAGTATTCCACTGTGTATATATACCACATCTTCTTTATCCATTCATCCCTTGATGGACACTTACGTTGCTTCCACGTCTTGGCTATTGTGAATAACGCTGCAATGTACACAGGGGTGCATGTATCTTTACGCATTGGTGTTTCCTTTGCTGCTTTAGATTACTAATAAGAATGGTGTTGTTTTCTTTCAGTTTGTTTGCTGTGGTGCTTCTGGAAATCACTGTCTTCTGCAGTAGGTTTTTGGAGTAGATCAGATACCTCCTGTGTTATAGCCAAGGATAGAGGGGATGGTTTTTCATGCAGCCTTGGTGTGAGGCACAAACTTGTGTATGCCCAGAGTGGGTGTTATGTGGTTTCTAGTCCTGTTCCCACAAATAGAAGAATATATATGGGGCAAAGGGAGATGAATAAGGGATCTTATGATGTGGCATCTTCTCCTTGCCTGCAACCTGGCAGATTATCTTAGCTATAAAAACAGACATACTGGAATCAGTATCAGTGAGGAATACTTAATTATTCTTTTTATTTGCTGTAGCTGTTCTAAAGAAATCCCAGTGGTGGTTCTGGCTGAAATTTGTTTCAGAAGGAGACAGTATCCCAGATGCATTAGGTCTTGTTGAGTATCTTAATGAATGGCTTCAGATAATCAAATCACGTGTAAGTTTTACTACAGCATAAACCTCTGATTTCTCTGGTTATGTATTCATAAACTTGCATTTTATATGCTATATAAGTAGACCAAATAAGTGGACGTTTACATTAAATATAGACATAACTTTATATAAAATTTAGTTTAGCTGAAGTTTTGAAAAGGAAAGAGGGCAGTTAACTAACCTGTTGTCAGCAGTTGTTTCGTTCTGGTTTTCCAAACAGAGAAAATCTTAAATACTGCATTATATTCATTGTCTGTGTTGCATTAATTATAACAGACAGCTTCTTATAAGAATAAACAAGTCCTCTTTGGCATTCAGGATTTTTTTTAGGAAAGCAAACGGTATTGCTCTATGAGCAATACTGTAGCTATTGAATATGCATTATAATTAAAATATTTTTCTCTGTTATGAAATAAGAGTGTTAAAACCCAAGGAAATCAGGTAGCCTTTTGGCATAACAAGTACCATAAGGCTGCTTTATATGGTAGGTATCTGTCTTTTTAATTTGTACTTTTGCCAAGAACAAATTGATGCAAATCACATAGCACTGATTTCTTTCTTTTTGTTTTTTTTTTTTAACACCTATTCCTTTTGAATTTGATTTTACTTGATGGACTCCATCCACAGCCTTTCTGGTATATCTTTTTCATTTGGAACTTGAGGAAATTTATCTTCGGTTGACATAAAGACATAGAAATTTATTACTTTGTTTTTCCTTACAATAAAACGGTCAAAAACAAAAGGATCAAAAAATACTAGAGAAGGGAGAGTTTTGTAATACATGTTAAAAGACGATTTGGTGGTAAAGTTGAAAGATTGAAATATTTTGTTCTTCGGTTACAGTGCGATGACCCCACAGCATCTGCCTTGCCGTGGAAAATATCAAGTTCTTGGCGATTACTCTTTGGCAGTGGTCTTCCCTCATCACTTTTTTTAATCTGTTTTCAGTTTTATACTTTATGTCCCAAGAAACATATTACCAACTCAACTGTTAAAACAACTGTATAAAAAGTTTTATTATCTGAGAATGTATTAGGAAATAAATCTTTACTTTTCACAGAAAATCTCAAAGAAAAATGGATTAACAAAAGGTTGTTTTTGCCATGCTTTTCATCATATACAACAAATGTAAATTTTGTACAGTAAAATATTTTCTAAGTAATTTTGTCTGAAATTTGTCTTTTTATTTTTTTAACTCAGACTTGTGTATTAGTTTCCTATTTCTGCTGTAACAAATTACCACAAAGTGGCTTAAAACAACACAAATTTACTATGTTACAATTCTGGAAGTCAGAAGTCCAAAAATAGGTCTCAATGGGCTAAAATCAAAGTGTTGGCAAGGCTTTGTTTCCTCTGGATGCTCTAGAGGAGAATCCATTTTCTACCTCTTTCCAGATTCTAGATGCTGCCACATTCTTTGGTTCATGGCTCCTCCCTCCATCTTCAAAGCCAACAGCATGGCATCTTGAAATATCTCTCCCTCTTTCACTTATGAGGATCCTTTTCATTACATTGGGCCCACCGTAATCTAGTGATCTAGAATTATTTCCCCATCTCAAAAGAATTTTAGTATAAAAGAAATAATAATAATAGTTTTCATTTTTGAGTGCCTTCTACGTACCAGTCACTTTTTACACATGATCTTCGTATTTGCTGTTTGGCTGTGTTACCTACCTATGTCTTGGCTTTCTCATCTGTAAAACTAGTGCTTGTAATATTAAGGGGTACACTCTACTCCATAGCACTCATTAAATGATTTATTTTATTTGTAATATATAAATCATTCTGGGTTCTGTAGCCTGTTACTGTTTCCCTTTTGGTTAAAATATGGAGTGGAGGTGGGGTTGACAGCCAGCCGGTGGAATAGAAAAGTCCCAGCCCTCATTCTCCTTAGACATGCCATCAATAATAGACTAAAATACCTTTATCAGAACTCCAGAAACCAGTTTAAAAGTTGCAGTATGCCAGGCGAGCACAAAGTTGAAAACAGCTACATTGAAATGGGTAAGAAGAGCTGTTCCTCTTGGCTGCTCTTCCAAGCTGACAGCTCAGCATGATTGGGAGAAAACCACCAGTTCATGGCTTCTGAGGGGATGGGGGAGCAGGGAGGTGTGGAACATGTGTCCAACATTCCAGCTTTTTTGAGGGCTGCTGGAGGGACTGGCTTCTGTCTCAACTGACTTGGAGTGCTGATGAAATTAGCATAGTTTAGATTCCTGGGGGCCACTGAAAGCAAGAGAGGGCAGGAGTGGCTTGCTGCAGCACCAGAAAGCCTATAGTGCCACACACAGGCCATTGCAGCCTCTGCACAAGCAGGAGAAGGCACCCAACTTGCAGCTTCTCCATCAGGAGAGACAGAGAAGAATGAAATGTGGGTCCAGCATTCCAGCTCTTCAGAGGGCTATGCAAGGGCCTGGTGTCTCTCACCTGACTTAGGGTGCTGATGGGAAACCAGCATACTTTGGATGCCTGGGGTCCACTGAGAACAAAGGAGAAAGTGGCACCTTGCTGCTCCACCAGAGAACCAGCATTGCTGCTGACAGTGAGCAAGAAATTACGAGCTCCTGAAAAAGAAACCTGGCAATCTCTCTAATTGGAGAAATACTTGCATAATCCCAGGGAAATCACATTCCCCAAAAAGGGTTTCAGGAGCCCCCAGAATTTGTAACTAGACTGCTTGGTGAAGGTCTTCCCTGTAAGAAGACTGGGAGAGGTGGCTGTTTTATCAAATGCATAAAACTCAGCAAAAAAAAAAAAAAAGTCACAAAGCACAAGAAGAAACAGAGCCACATCTCAATGAAAGGAACAATATAAACCAGGGGAACAAAATAAACCAGAAACCAATCCCAATGAAATGGAGATTTATGAATTACATCGCAAAGAATTCAAATTAATGGTCTTGAAGCTAAATGATCTGCAAGAGAGCATAGAGACTAAATGAAATCAGGACAATAATGCATGAACAAAATGAGAATATCAACAAAGAGAAACTGTAAAAAAAGAATCATACAGAAATTCTGGAACTGAAAAATATGACTGAATTGAAAAAATCACTGTAGGGGTTCAACAGCAGACTTGATCAAGCAGAAGAAAGAATCAGCAATTCTGATCATTGAAATTATCAAGTCAGAGAAATAAAAAAAAAGAATGAAGAAAAATGGAGAAAGCCTAAGGGATACAAAACAGCATAAAATGGATATATATATATCAATAATGAGAGTCCCAGAAGGAGAAAAGTGAGAGAAAGGAACAGAAATTATTTGAAGAAATAATGGCTGAAAACTTCTGTGGCAAAGAAAATGGACATCCAAATTTGAGAAGCTCGAAGGGCTCCAAATAGAATGAACCTAAACAGCCCCACACCCAAGACAACTCATAATCAAAAAAACTGTCAAAAATCAGACAAAGAAAATTTTAGAAGCAGCAAGAGAAAAGCAACTTGTCACATACAAGTGATCTTCAGCAGAAACCTTAGAGGCCAGAGAGGAGTGGGATGATGTATTCAAAGTGCTGAAAGAAAAAAAAAGCTACCAATCAAGAGTATTATCCAGCAAAACTGTCCTTCACAAATGAAGAAGAAATAAAGACTTTCTCAGATAAATAAAAGCTGAGGGAGTTTATCACCACTGGAAGTGCCTTACAAGAAATGCTAAAGGGAGTCGTGCAAGTTGAAACAAAAAGACGTTAGCAACATGAAAGTATACAAAAATATAAAGCCCTCTGGTAAAGGTAAGTAAACAAATACAGAATCTTGTGATGCTATCGTGGTGATACAGTACTTTTAATTCTGGTATAGAATTTAGAAGATAAAAGCATAAAAATAACTATCACTAAAACTATGTTAATGGATACATAATATATAAAGATGTAATTTGTGAATCAATAACATAAAGTGAGAGATGTAAAAGAAGATGGTTTTTGTATATGATTGAAATTAAGTTAGCATAACATAGATTGTTATAACTATAAGGTGTTTTATGTAAGCCCCACAGTAATCACAAAGTAAACCTCTTTTTTGTGTGTGTGTGTGAGGAAGATCAGCCCAGAGCTAAATCTGTGCTAATCCTCCTCTTTTTTGCTGAGGAAGATGGGCTCTGAGCTAACATCTATTGCCAATCCTCCTCCTTTTTTTTTCCCCAAAGCCCCAGTAGATAGTTGTATGTCATAGTTGCACATCCTTCATGTCATAGTTGCTGTATGTGGGACATGGCCTCAGCATGGCCAGAGAAGCGGTGCGTTGGTGCGCACCTGGGATCCGAACCCGGGCCGCCAGTAGTGGAGCGTGCGCACTTAACCACTAAGCCATTGGGCCAGCCCCAAAGTAAACACCTTTAGAAGATACACAGAAAAACATAAGGGAAAAAAACCAAAGCATGTCAATACAAAAAATCAGTGAAACACAAATAAAGGCAGCAGGAAGAAAAGGGAGACAAAAAAAGACAGAAAACAATGAACAAAATGGAATAGTGCTATAGTCTGAATGTCTGTGTCCCCCAGAATTAATACGTTGAAATTCTAACTCCCAAAGTAATGGTATTAGGTAGGGCCTTTGGGAGGTGCTTAGGTCATGAGGGCAGATCCTTCATGAATGGTAGATTAGTGCCCTTATAAAGAGACCTCAGAGAACTACCTTGCCCCTTCCACCATGTCAGGACACAGTGAGAAGGCACTGTCTATGATTAAGTGGACTCTCATGAGACACCAAATCTGGTGATGCCATGATCTTGAACTTTTCAGCTTCCAGAACTGTGAGAAATAAATTTGTTGTTTATAAGCCACCTACTTTATGATATCGTTGTTATAGCAGCCCAAAAAGACTAGAAAGTAAGTCCTTCTTTATCAGTAATTGCTTTAAATGTAAATAGATTAAATTCCTCAATCAAAAGACAGAGTGGCTAGATGGATAAAAAAAAAAAAAGAAGATGCAATTTTGTGCTGTCTACAAGAGACTGACCTTAGATTTAAAGAAACACATAGGCTGAAAATGAAAGGATGGAAAAAGATATTTCATGCAAATGTAACCAAAAGACAGCAGGGGTAGCTATACTAATATCAGACAAATTAGAGTTTAATCAAAAACTGTCAGGGGCCAGCCCCGTGGCGTAGTGGTTAAGTATGCGCGTTCTGCTGCTGGCGGCCTGGGTTTGGATCCTGCGCACGCACTGACGCACCACTTGTCAAGTCATGCTGTGGCAGCATCCCATATAAAGTGGAGGAAGATGGGCACGGATGTTAGCCCAGGGCCAGTCTTCCTCAGCAAAAAGAAGAGGATTGGCAGATGTTAGCTCAGGGCTGATCTTCCTCACACACACACGCAAAATATATATATATATATATAATAAAACAAAACAAAACAAATAAACTGTCACTAGAGAAAAAGACAATTATATAAAAGGGTCAATGCACAATTATATATGCAACCAAATATACAAAGCAAACAGAAAGAAGAAAACAAGATTAGAGAAGAAATAAACAAAATAGAGCACAGAAAAATAGAAGAGGATCAATGAAAGTGAATTGCGTTTTTGAAAAGATTAACAAAGTTGAAAAAACCTTAGCTAGACTAAGAAAAAAAGACTAAAATGATTAAAATCAGAAATGAAAAAGAGATTACAACTGATACCACAGAAATAAAACAGATTATAAAAGACTACTATGAACAATTATATGCCAACAAATTGCATAACCTAGAAAAAAATGGATAAATTCCTAGAAACATACAATTGAGTAAGACTGAATCATGAAGAAATAGAAAATCTGAACAGAACTATGACTAGTAAGAAGGTTGAATCAGTAATCAAAAGCCTCTCAACAAAGAAAAGCCCAAGACCAGGTGGCTTGATTGGAATATTCTACCAAATATTTAAAGAAGAATTAATAACAATCCTTCATAAACTCTTCCCAAAGTTGAATAGAAGAGAACACTTCCTAATGGATTTTATGAGTCCAACATTACTCTGATACCAAAGCCAAACAAAGATACTACAAGAAAACTACAGACC